TTTCTCTCCCACTGAGAGCTAGGATACACTGTGACATCATGTTAAAATTAGTTCTCTGTAAACAATAAGTGTGCTACAATGGAAATCTTACCAAACATCAAACTTCTTTTCATGTTCTTGATAAATCATATCACAGGTAAATTTTTGTGTGAGAACTCTTTAGTGAGAGGCTGATTGATATATGGTGAGCAGCTGTCCAAATAGTGAGCTCCTTCCTGAGATTTCAAATGAAATAATATTAGAATGTTCAAATACAGCATACTTTCGTACTCAGTACTCTTAACCAGATTAGAAAAAGGTAATGATGAAAAGCAGAGTTAAGCCCATAGCATAGTAGACTGACTGAAAGGTGACTGAGAAAATCCCCAGTCCTCAAATATCTTTTGTATTGCTTTCCTTGGCTCTACCATTAGTCAGTCATTCTTTTGGGTCAGTTATGGCTACCTCCCTGACCTCGATGGAGAGTGAGGGACAGGACTAGCCTAGCTGGCAGGGTTCTACAAGGCCTAGTTCTAGAGCAAAGAATTTCTCACCTGAGACCATAAGGTGGGGAATGAATGGTACAGTGCTCTATGCTAAGTGGAAGGATGGCAGGCACATATAAAACTGGTGTACAAAACTTGAACCAGGGACCAGGAAGAGAACAAACATCAACAGGGTGATAATAAATTAATTTAGGAATTGTTGTTTACAACTTTTTTCACAGACAAATAAGGCAGTGAATTTCTTCAAGTTTAAAGGGTCTAGGAAGGGACATACTTATTAAAGGGCAGAAGCACTGGTGACAAGAAGAGACGGTCATGCAGGGGGTGCTGATAGGAAAATTCACTCCCCTCTCCATAACATGACAGCATGTCCATGTTTAAATATTTTTTTGTTCTGACTTTTGCAATTATTAGATGCAGTACCAGTAATTACAGCAGCTGGCAAAAGTAGGTTTACAGTTGTCAATATGCAAAACAGAGTTTATTCTTGTATTATTATAATCATAACCTGCATGTCTTTTTCCATATGAATAATTAGTTGTAAGCCTACTTTTTCCCAGCCCTGTATTTTAATGGTATAGTGTAATCTTGTATTAAAATGAAAAAAACATTATGTTTTGGTCTTTTCTTTTTAATATACTTGTGAATATATCTGAGTGCCTTTGGCTTCATTTATTTAGGATAATTTAGACTCCGCTTTTCTTGGATTTGGCTAAAGATATAGCTCCACATCAGGAAAACTTCTGGTCAGTCCTCTCAGTGCAGGTACCTTTGTGAATACTTTAATTCAGGGTGGCATAGAGAGCACACACATTTCCCTGGGTAATAGTCTCCCTGTCAGGATTGGTTGTTGGAGTATGTTTCTTTTCCCTGTTTGACTCCCTTCCCTATCTGTACAATAGAAATTTCCAGAAATCGATCAGAGGTCACAAACGGGTGACCTATGAACTAAAGTCAGCCAACACACTGTTAGTTTGGTCAAAGCAGCACGTTTTCCCTTTTCTTTTATCTTGTTTTGGTGACTTCTAACTGAGGCCTTCAGGAAGGGCATACACACTTGTGAGCCCCTACCACGCCACCCCAATCACTGAGCTACATCCAGACTCTAGTTTGTATTCCCTGCGTGAGTCCTAGAAACATCTGAGTTTGAGACTCTAGAATTAGATGTTTTATTAAATTTCTTTATGCTTCTAAGATTGTAACTGAAAACCTCTTGAGAGAATAAACATTCTTTTCCAACCCAATTAGTAGAGAGATAGATGAGCGGAAAGGAGATTCATACCAGATATCAGGGCTACCAGCTATCAGGCCATCTCTGTGTATGTCTCTTTTAATCCTCAATGCACCCCAGTGAGGTACATATTATGGTATCTATTTTACAGGTGACAAAACATGCTTAGAGAAGGTCACATCTTGCCCATAGTCAGAAAGTCTATGAATTCTGAGAATTATGTTCAAACTCAGATTTATTTATCTCTAAAGACTTCTTATGACCTAATTCTCCTTACTGGGCAGAAACTGTCCACAAGGATCTCTTAAATAAAGAAGCTTTACACAGACTTTTGAAACATCATCAAAGTTAGATATACTAAAGATGTCCAATATCTCAGACTATTTTACAAAATATTTTATATGCATGTTGCTTTCTTCAACTAGTGGAGAATTGCCTTCATGCTTCCAAAGAGCTGCACAAAATTTAGGAATAATTATTATTGGAGAAAATTTGGCTTTCATTTACACATTGATGTGACTTTGAAAAATATGTCCCTAATCACTCAAATTAGAAATGTAAAAAGATTTTATTTCTATCACATAATTTGTTCTTTGTTTTGTCACAGAATACCAGCTTTTTTAGAAGTTTGAATTTATATAAAGTATCACTAAAACTCCATTTTCCTTAATCTGGATGTAAAACTACTTTACTTATCTAGAAAGTTTTCCTGATATAGAACAGTTCTGATTTAAAAAAAAAAAATCAGGTATGTCTGAATAAAAGAAGGCAGAGTGTTAATATGATCATTAATTTAGTTGTGCAGTGTTTTCAGTTGAGAGTTTTTTAAAACTTAAATCTGCCACAGAAAATATAATTAACAATATTGTAATAACTATCTACAATGCCAGGTAGGCACTTGAATTATCAGAGAGGCACACAATAACCTATATGAATATCTATCTGCTGTGCTGTACACCTGAAATTAACACAAAATAATGTTGAATGCAAGCTGTTATCAAAAAATAAAATAATAATAAAAGGAAAAAAAGACAAAGACGCCCACCAACAAAGGCAGGAAACCTGTCTCAATGTTTCTCTCATTAATCCTTTTCTGGCCAGATGTACATGAAATTAGCTACAATTTAATTTCAGTTCAGCTTTACTTTGGTATTAAATTTACTCAAAGAAAAAAGAAAAGGTTGCTTTTGAATGCAAGTAATGGAACACCCAAGCAACAATGGTCCTAACATTAGAGCCGTTTAACTTTCTTTTTAACATGAAGGGTGGATATAAGACAAATAATTTCAAATGGTAACAGATGACAAAATTAAAAATCCCAAACATAGTCATATAAGCATAACTTATGGAAATATTGGGGCAAATAATCAGAATAGCTGAAAAAGTGAGAAATGATTGACCCTGAAGAATAAGATTTAAGGCTGTTGTTTCATGATAAAAGAGATTGCTATTTTTCTATGTAAACCTCGCAGTACTATTTTTTAAAACTAAGTACAGATATTAGTGATAAAAATAAAACTTAATTTACATTTAAAAAGTGAAGTCTGCTAATATAAAGAGAAACTTTGCATTTAGGATGATTTTCATGTTACAATAGTCACTGAATTGGCTCAGAATAAGCGTGGTGACCAAGAAATGTCCAGAACGAGCTGCCTACTTTTAAATAAGGAAAAAAAAAGACATAGAGATATTACATTAAAAATAAATACATAAATGAAGTAAAAAAGTATCTATATGGGGCACCTTTTTGTAATTTTAAAATTTAGGATTAACCAGATTATTCTGATTTGAACAAAAGGTTGCACCAATAATTTTTTTTATTTACTCAGTGCTCACATTTATGGACAGACATTTTCTGCAAGTGCAGTGCGAATTATCACAGGTATATTAAAGCAATTAGACTGCTGAATTTCGCTGTCTGTAAGTAAGACTTGGGGTGGGGAGAGGGACACAGAAACTGCTGCCCTTTTCAAATAATTCACAAATGTGCTAATTATATGTCAGATATAAAAGCTGAGGCATTGTGACCTTCAAGTCAACAAAAGACCTTTTCAAGTAAGTCATTTCCAAGTACATTAATAAAGTGAACAATGCCCTCCACAGTTAAATAATGTATGGTTGTTATTTCATTATATGTAAATGGAAACCAAGGAGTTGTTTCACAGTTGACATATTAAAAGAAATGTTATAAAAACAGAGACTATAAATCCATTTCGTGATGTTCTTCAATAGTGATTCACAGATGTTTGTTGTTTGCTCCCACTGCATGCAGCTAATGCATGGTTTCTCTATAGCTAAATGTATTTTGGATTTGAATAGTAAAAACTGTGATGTATTAAAGTAGACAATAATTAACAGAGACATTAGGTATGTTGGAAAGATGATTGTTAGAACAGCAAACTCCTTGCAGTGATAAAGACAATGATGCATTTTGTAGATTTTGGAAACACTACCTCTGTACACAAATACTCACTTGCTACCAAAAGGAATGTTAAAAGAGAATCAAAGAAAAGAAAGAAAAAGAAAGATGCTTCTTCTCATGGCTCTTTTATGGTATAAAGTATATGTAAATATTGATCTTAGGTAATGGACATAAAGTAATTATTTAAAAGAGCATCCATTTCACTGGAAGAATGTAAGTTTCAAAAGCAATAATGTATAAAGGAATTTGAGTGTCACAGATACTTGAATCAAATAGACCCCTGGAATGTCAAACAGTGTGCCCAGGAAGTTGTAGCAGAAAATCAAGAACGGGAAGCAGATTTAATGATCTTGTATTTGTCCAGCTTTATAGTATAGTTGATGCTGAATAAAACATAAATAAAGATACAATCATTCTTAATTCAACTTAAGTAGGCATAATAAACCTCTGAGAAATAATAAACCAATTACAAACTTAAAATAAACCACAATCATTTGAGATTCCAAGAACTTATTGGCATTCAATTCACAGATAAATTTTTTCAGTCCCATAAGAAACTATAATACTTAACATCTTAGTGTGGATTAGATGTTGATACCAAGAGATTGTATAGGGTTTAGTGATTCAGTCACCAGTCGTTCTTTTTGTTTTAAACAATTTTATAGGGCCCTTCATTGTTATTTGTTTTAATAGATTCTCTGAATACTTTTATAAAACAGATACCACTGACATCTATGAGAATGCTGTTCTTTGTTACTGAGAATTTCAATGTATGTGTATATATGGTTGTTTAGTATAACAAATGTTTCTGCATTCCCTTGATAATCTGAAATAATTTTCATTAATTTGGATTGTATTTAAGGTGGCAAATCTTGCTTGTTCCATGTCAACAAATGAAGATGGGATTAAAATTGTCAAAATTGCAGCCAATCACTTGGAAACTTTGTGTCCACAGGTATGATGACTAAGTTACTGCCTCTTTCACTTAACTAGCTATAAAGATGATATACAATGCTTCAGACTTTTATACATATAGGAATATATTTAAATACTTAATTTAAACACAGAAGATAAGTTATCCTAAGGTCATGGTTTATTCTTTACTAAGCACCTAACTCTATTTAGCACATGGTTCTTGTAACATTCCCTAAGGGCCCACATCAGAGTCTTGTGAGAGAAAAGTATAGTTTGATACCTGGATAAGTGGAATCTAGAGGATCTTCAACTGAGATCTCGCACCTGATGTCAGGTGTTCGTGAGATCCTACAGGGAATGGAATACTACAATGAGGTCTCTAAGTGGTTGAATCACTTGTACTCCCTTCAACAGGATATGAGAGATCTTATTTCTCCACGTTGTAACTAACACTTGATGCTGTCATTTTTAAAAATGTCTTTTTGAATTTGAAGAGTACTAAATGAATATCATTGGGTTTACTCTATAATTCTCTGATTAAAAAGGGAACATTTTTTCAAATGTTTATTAATCATTTGGCTTTCTAATACTGTGAATTGCCTATACCTTTTGCCAATTTTTAGTGGTTTTTTAAAAAGTATTTTTATTGCATTGCTTGAGTTTGTTAAAAAATATCTTCTGTTGACTATGGCTTTTCTTTTAACTTTATTTTTTTAATTTAATTTTTTTATTGTTCAGATACATTTGTTTCCATTTTTCCCACCACCACTTCCCCCTGCCCCACCCACCCCCACCTCCCACCCTCAATCCTTCCCCACTTTGGCTTTGTCCACGGGTTCTTTATATATGTTTCTTGACTTGGCCCTTAAGTGCTCATCAGTATATGAGTGGATCAAAAAACTATGGTACATTTACACAATGGAATACTGTGCAGCAGAAAAGCAGAAAGAGCTACTACCCTTCGTGACAGCATGGATGGAACTGGCAAGTATTATGCTAACCAAAGTAAGCCAGGAGGTGAAAGACAAATACCATATGATCTCACCTATAAGTGGAACCTAATCAACAAAACAAACAAGCAGGAAAAATGTAACCAGCAGCATTAAAAAAGGGGAAGTGTTTTTTAACTTTAAAAGGACTATTTCACAAATCTGTTGTAACCTGTAGCTTCCCTGTCACTTCTCTGGTTCCCCTCTCCTGCAAGCACAGTGGTGGCAGGGCCCAGCTGCTACAAAGACATGTTTTAGACAATACTCATGTGACTGGGCAAAAAACTCGAGGACTGTATTTGTGACTAATTGTATAACAGGTTATTTTAGTTTCTTTTCTGTGGAAAGTGTAAAGCATTTCAACAAAGAGTTTTTAATGTAGTTTTTCTTTATTTTTTTTTCTTTTTTTTTTTGCACCCATGCTGTTGATTGCTAAATGTAATAGTCTGATCATGATGCTGAATAAATGTGTCTTTAAAAAAAAATTCAATCATAGAAAATTTGAAGAACTTTAATGAAAATATATGATCCACTTTTTAATCTTTTAATAAATATTTGTTGAGCACTTACTCTATGCCACATGTCCATTGGTTGGTGCCTTGCTAAGAAACTCTTCCAACAGCCCTGGCTGGGGTGGCTCTGTGGACTGAGTGCTGGCCTGTGAACCAAAAGGTCGCCGATTTGATTCCTGGTCAGGGCACATGCCAGGGCCGGGTCCCCAGCTGGGGGCTAGTGAGAGGCAAGTGATTGATATGTATCTAACACATTGATGTTGTTCTCCCTCTCCTTCCCTTCCTCTCTCTCTAAAAGTAATTAAGTAAAATCCTTAAAAAAAAGACTCTTCCAACAAAAATATATAATTTCCATATTTTTAAACAGATTAAAACATTTAGATCTTTATTTCGTCTAAAATTTGTTTTTGTGTCTAACTTGAGGAAGGGATCTATTTTATTTTTAGAGTATTAATCACTGGGCCATAATCATGTATTAAATATTTGATCCTTTCCCAATGAATGTAAAATGCTACCATTGTTATACATGACCACACACACACTTTATACTTTTTCCATTGGTTTATATATATTTGCATATGTATAAATTTATAGTCTGTTTATAATGCACGCATATATCTACATGATTTATATAATATACACATAATACATATGTAAATATATAATATTTTACTATTATTTAATATGTAAATATAGATGATAAATGAAATATGTTTTAATATACATGTTTCTGAGCTCTGCATTCTGTTTCACTGGCCTATTTTTTTATTCTTGCAACAGTACTACAATGTCTTAATTAAAGTTTTATACTAAATTTTATTATCTTTTTGGGAAATTAGCTCACCTTTTTTTTTTCTTTATATTATTGTTATTCTTGCTTTGCTCTTTCATATAACTTTTAGTATCAACTTGTCAATTTCCATAAAAATACATGTTAAAATATTTATTGAATTTTTAAAATGTTTTAAATTTTAAATTTTAGATATTCAATATCCTTTAAGGTATCAAACTTTTTAATTAATAAATATGCTTTATGAATCTCCACAATCAGATCATTTTTTATGTTCATCAGGGATTCCTTAGTTTTTATATTCTTTATTAAGATAAATCCATTGCTACATACTGACAGCTTCCAAATTTTTCTCTGTAGGCCAGACCTCTTCCTAACAACCAGCTTCGATATCTACTTTTCCCTTGACATTTCCACCTTGACATTAGAGACCATTTAACACTTGGCCACCGTGGACCTCTGGTTGTTCCATCTCCATTGCACTTTCCTGCTTCTTCAGTCTCACCAGTTTTATTAATGGCATGGCCAGTCATCTTGTTGCTCTGGGGAAAACCTGGAGATTTTCCTTTATTCATTCAGTAAATGTTTATTGCACATAACAGCATGTGGTAAGCACTGTTTATGCATCTGGAAACGATTATAAAGAAAACAATAAACAAAAATTCTTGCTCTGGTGAAGCTGATATTCAAATGATAGCTAATCGTCATTTTTTTCCCTAACTAATCCTTTCACAAGTCCTATCAATTTCACCAAAAATATTTATCTTGACTCTATATTGTCTGTCAGCATCTTAATGTGTGTCACCATCATCTCTATCTTGGGCGACAGAAATACCATCCTATTTGGTACCCATGTTTATACTCATATCTCTCTAACCTACTTTCTGTATAAAAACCGAAGTAAAATTGTAAAGATGCTTATCATACTAATTGTTTTTCTTAGCTTATTGCAGTAAAAGGCAAACATTTTTATGGCTTCATAAGACTCTTATACCTTCTTACTATCTAACTTCCAGCCCCACTCCATATTATTTTCCTTTTTAATCATTAAATCTCTGCACATTGGCTTTTCTGTGCCAGCACACAATAAGCTTCTTCCCACCTGAGCGAAACTTGGCAGTTTCCCAGTGCTCTTTTCCCTTGTGGCCATGTAGACAGTTCCCGTTATGTTCAATTTGTGAGGACTCAGCTCAAATAACATCTTCTCAGAGATCAATCTACTTAAATCACTCCGGCAGCTATATCATATTATGTCACCATATTTATTTCTTTTAGAGTCTCTATCACAACCTGTAGTTATATTTTATATTATTTTGTTACTTTCTATTGTGTATTTTTCACACTTCAACGTAACCGTCATGAAGGCAATGATTTAGTCTTCCTTATTCACCACTTATATCCCCTGGACCTAACAGAAATGCAGCATCTATACTGGATGTTCAACAAATCTTTGTCCAAAACATGAATGAATGACAGGGGTTTTAGAATAAGTTATTCTATTCATAGAGGGAAGCAAAGCTTTTGGCAACATCTTTATAATACTTTTCCTAACATGGCATGTCTTCTTTTTGACAACATAAAAATACAGTATAATTAGTTTTAATTGTAACTAATGAAAAAATCCTTAAAATGGCAGATTAGTAGAGAGCTGTTAGCCAATGGTGTGGCCTCTGTTCATGGGCTGCAATGATCTGCTCTTGACCTAGTTCATTTCGGTGTTTTATTAGTGATATGGATAAAATTATAGAATAACATTGTTAAATTTTTTAGTTAAAAATAAGAGGATAAATAAAACACATTAGCCAAAACTATCCAGTCACAAAGAATTTGGATATTCTAGAATATAGACCAAACCTCAACACCCAGAGGAAATATAGTAAGTATAACTATCATACCATATACACTGATCACTCTAAAAAAATTTGCAAAGATAGAGAATAGAAGAAATATGGCTTAGCAAAAAATATCCTCCAAAAAGCTTGCAGGTTTTAGTTGATAGTAATCACAATGTGAAAGGAAGAGTATGGAATAGCTGTCATAAAAAATGAACAGGATTTAAAATTTTTAAAGAATAAGTTCTAAAAATTATTTTCAATAGTCTATATAATTAAAAATTATTTTAAGCACTGTATAATTTTTATATAGTACATTCTGAATTTCAGAATTAGTATGTCTGGAGTATACCCCATTGTGTGTGTCTGCCAGCACAGATGTGTGAGTTCCATGTTTGCAATATACATATTTAAATAAGGTATGCACAGACATTTAGGTGCACTGTCTCCATTTTCAGACATTTATGATACAGACATGCATGTGCATATGCAAACAGTCTATAAGCAAGGCTTTTATGCAGCTCTAAAGTGTAATAACAAAAGCTAAGCCAACCTAAATGGCTGCTGGTAGTAACTTGGCTCAATGTTATGTTTTGGTATGGAACACACCCAAGATAAGTGAAAAAGGCAAATTTCAGATGAATATGTATATTATAATATATACTTTGGAAAAGAGGAGATAGATAGAGCCATATGTATATGTAGTCATATAAAAGCTTTAAAAAGGCCCTCATGAGATTTTTTTTGAGGTGTTTAATGTGCAGATTTTATTGATTTAAAGTTTATCATTCTTTTATTGTATTTTTCCTATTACCATTAAATCCCCTATGGCTCCCTCCCCCCCCTGGAATTCTCCCACTGTTGTCTGTGAGTCCTTTTTCTTTTTTGCTCCGTCCCTCTGCCCTTACTCGCCCTTT